ACGGGAAACCTAGCCAAAAATGGTATTCGTCATTCCTTCATAGGTTCAGGGAGCTTGAAACTTTTCTATAAAGTATTGGTGCCAGTGAAGAATCTTCAATGCGGATGAAAGCGGATTCAGTATGTGCCCTAAAACAGGAAGTGTTGGGCCCCAGGGGTTACAAAAATTTATTTGAAGTAAAGAAAGGAATAAAAAAAGAATAATATTACAGCTAGTCCTTGTAAAATTCTCTATTGTATATGCATTAGGGATGCACCGGAGTTACTGCTCACCTACTGCCTCCGGCCGATCCGGCCTATGCGGCAGCATATCCGGCTCCGGCCAAATTTTTAAACTGATCCGGCAACAACGGCTGATCCGGCAACAACGGCCGGAATGTGGCCGGATTTTTTAAATTAAAAATAAAATATTTTTTCAAATGTTTATTATAAAAATATATATATTCTTTTACAAGTAACAAACAATTTTTTTAGAAATAATTTAAAAATAGATTAAGGATTAAACTTCATGATTTAAGCGAACATAAGATAACGAAGTCCTTAAGTTATAGTGCAAAAATTCGAGTTGTTCACCTTTCTCGGGAAGAAATCAGCTATGCGCAGGTGATCGTATCTATGCGTACTAAGTAACAGACGCCGTACCTATGCGCAGTGGTTTTCAGATGGTTGTATTATACCTATTATAATTATTGTACCTCTGTTTTTTAATTGTTATAACGTTTAGATTAGGTATAATAATAATAAATATTATTTATTTATTTTTATGTTACCTATTTATTATTTTTTTAAACGTTTTATAAAGATATACTTTTTAATATATTATTGGTTTTAAAAACTTTTATTTATTGATAAATATATATGTTTTTGTTTTTTCCCCTAAAATAGCTATTTAACGAACTCATTTGAGTCCGTAAAACAATTCTTTTTTTGTACTAGTACGAAAAAGTTGCTATGGAAATTTTTGCAAAATGGTTCTTGAACCATTGCAATACAACAAATAAAAATAAAATTCGATAACTGTCACTGACAGTGACAACCTTAATTTCGAGAAATAGGTATTTACTCTATTTAAAAATTTAAATATATGGACCTAGAACAAAAAAATGTTGTTTGCAACATGTACCTAAAAATCATGTTTTTTAGGACGAATCGTAGCTGTTTGCGGTCGAGGGGAAGCCAAAACCAGAACAGCCGATGTTACAAAAATAGCTATAATAATACGTATACGTATATAATACGTATATATATATGTTACGGCTAATGTGCAAACTTGGATAGTTTATAAACTAGCTGGATAGTTTATAAACTAGCCAAACTGTCAGCTATTTTAATTGAAAATGTATTTTCAACTAAATTAGCGGCTAGTTTACAAAATAACCAAGGATCTTGGCTAATTTACTTGAAATTATTAGGAAAACTAAAATAGCTGGATAGTTTGTATACTATCCAATTCAATTTGGCTAATATGAAAACCAAAATTTCGAGTAACACAAAGTAGCCAAGCTTTAGCTAGTTTGTAAACTAACCAACTAATTATCTGGCTATTGCCCATTTTAGTTGGGTTTTTTGCTCAATGGGGCGGGGTCGGTTGGTTTGTGTTGTTGAGTTTGGGTTGGTTTGGGTTTTTTTCTCTCAGTTTTGACCATTTGACCAATGGGGCGGGGGGGGGCCAATGGGGCGGGGACAGTAGGGTTGTGTTGTTGAGTTTTCTAACAAGGAAGCGTTAAAATTTGGCCTATGATTCATTTTAAAAACGTTAAAATGCACAAAACAAATCCGGTTAAGCCGGCAAAACGAAAAACAATGCCGTAACCTCACTTTTTTAATAAATTAGCCAAACTGAATTGGATAGTATACAAACTATCCAGCTATTTTAGTTTCCCTAATAATTTCAAGTAAATTAGCCAAGATCCTTGGTTATTTTGTAAACTAGCAGCTAGTTTAGTTGAAAATATGTTTTCAATTAAAATAGCTGACAGTTTGGCTAGTTTATAAACTATCCAAGTTTGCACATTAGCGATAACATATAAATATATATATATATATATATATATATATATATATTAGGGTGTTTCAAAAAAATCGACTTTTTATTTTTCTTCAAATGGTCGGCAAATTCTTTCAGAGGATGTCAACACAAAGACCTCGTCAAAATTTGAGCTTTTAATTTGAAGATTTAGAGGTCGCGGATCGCAATTTTCTATTTCCCATTTAAATAACATAGGAAATTTTTTTTTGGAATTTTATACGTCTGAATCGAATCAACTTAGGTTAAGGATCATCTTAGATTTTCATAGTACATTTAACGCTCTACAAAAAAGGTCTCCTATCATTTTTCTATAAATTGATTCCTTCCAGAGTTATTTGAGGCCAAAGTTTGATTTACATCGAATTTTCGCGTTTTTTTAACATATATGGTACAATTATCATTACACGGGTGTCCCGAAATTAGGGGGCCAAACTTAAACAGTGCATTATTCGTATAAAAATAACACTTTTTTTGTTCAATAAACATGTATCAAAAGATGCTCCCTAAAGGAGCTACGGCCCCCTGAATAGGAGCCTAAGAGAATACTTTTTTTAAAACTATTCCTAGAGGGTTGAACATGAACAAATGAATTTTCGGTACTTTGGTAATTTTGACATGCTGAATCTAGATCTACGATCAAAACTGTTAAAATTTAATCATAGGCGTAACATTTGGAGGGGGCAAAGTTACAAAAATAGCCCGAACTTTTTTCTGGGTTAATAATTTTTTTTTTTTTATGAAATTATGATAATTTATAGTTTTTTACGAAAAATAGGTACTCTTGATTTGTATTGCTCAGATGCACCATTTTCGAGAAAAATGCATTTATATATATTTATTATTACTCTGCATATTATACACATCTCATATTTTCATTAAAACTTTGTAGTAGGCTTTGGAAAAAAGTGACGTTTTTTTGTTTTTTTGTTTTTTACAAACACTTCCTATGTTTCAGATATAAATATTTGATTTTTTTACTACATGATGTTTAGCAGTTGAAAAAACGAGAAAATTCGATGGAAATCAAACTTTGGCCTCGAATAACTCTGGAAGAAATCAATTTATAGAAAAATTATAAGAGACATTTCTTATAGAGCGTTAAATTTACTATAAAAATCTAAGATGGTCCTTGCCATAAGTTGATTCGATATAGACGTATAAAATTCCAAAAAAAAATTTCCTATGTTATTTAAATGGGAAATAGAAAATTGCTCAAATTTTAACGAGGTCTTTGTTTTGACATCCTCTAAAAGAATTTGCTGACCATTTGAAGAAAAAGAAAAAGTCGATTTTTTTGAAACACCCTAATATATATATATATATATATATATATATATATATATATATATATATATATATATATATATATATATATATATATATATATATATGTATAATTATATTACTTTTTAACTAATATAATATGTATATATATACATATTATATCAGTTTTGACGCGCCAAAATAACAAGTAGATACATGACAAAAACCTGGTGTAAAAATAAAAAATACAATGCGCCACCTAATAATGATTACTTATAAGGTGGGCAGGTACCTAAAATATAAACACTTTTATTTATTTTTAATACTACTAGAATGCATGCGTAAAATGCAAGGTCTGTCAATGTTTCTCCTTATTTTAAAAGACAAATGTTAATTTACTTTACATGTATTGTTGGTTGCCTGTTCGGGAACAGGATCCCCACATACCACATCAACACGTAATTGGTAATCAAGTGCAAGATTTGCATAATACTAAAACAGAAACTGCAACTGCCTGTGTAAAAACACTGTAAGATCCGGCCGACTCCGGCGAAATCCGCCAAAATCCGGCCGGAGTTAATCCGGCCGATGAAGCCGGATTACTGCATCCGGTAATCCGGCCAAAATCAAATCCGGTGCATCCCTAATATGCATATGATGATGTCGTAACCCAAGACTTCAACTGTGATTTTGCTGTGACTGAATTTTTTTTATAATTATTTAATTTTGTATGTACAAACTTACAAAAAACTTCCCGCAGAAACTTCAACTTTACAAATGGCACAAAAATGCCATACGGACCTGGCGAAAATACAGTGTAAATGCCACGGCCGACAACTGGTATAGGTACTAGTAAAAGTGTTTGTTTTTGGAATTTGTTTAAAAGGATAAAACAGATTTAAATAAAAGGTTTCTCCTTCATACTCACGCAATGATAGAATACAGTAGGTCCACTCCCATAGAGGAATTTATAACTTAACTCGATAAACTTTAATGCTATTTAAGGTATAAGTCAAAATACATTGAAAAAGGCCGACTACTGGCGAACCCACCCTACTGTAGTTAGATAGAAATTTACATTTTTTACCAACCAGTAATTGGACACTGGCCATTTTACTGTTTGCTTTCAGAATTAAAATTAAAACGCATTAAAGTGAAAATGTTTAAACCATGAGGAACACATTTATACCACACATTAATCTTTAGTACAGATTCTGTACACTATATAAATATTTTGTATTGTAATTTAAATACAGCCCTGCTCTTAACAAAAGGTAACTATTTATGGAACTCATGTTTTTACAGTATTAATGTTAATTGTCCAATAACTATAAAGTGTCCAATAACTGTCCAGTTTACCCTATAAACTAGGCGCATTTTTTTTTCAAATTTGACCTAAAATTGTAAGTATTACAAATCTATCGTTTTACTTAGGGGTTTTTGGTAAGTATACTATTTTTTTTAGTAAGTAGGTAATTATTACAAACAACTTTTTTTAATCGGTCTATTTTTAAATAAATACCTACTTCTCTTACCATACAAAAATGCATTTTGAGTTTTGTGGGCACAAAAATATTATATAGGTAAACTATGAAACTCTTAAATCATGTTTAAAGTTAAAACTTTTGCTGTTTTTATATAATATACGTATAAAAACAGCTAAAGTATACATATATATATATAGGTATATATAAAGAATTTTGTATTACCTGAAAACGTTGATTGGATAAGAACTAGAAGTAAAGAAAGAAATATATATACAGCTCCAAGTTTTGTGTTGTTATTCCATATGAAAACCGAAGATAGTTTCCTAAGCATCATTTTGTTTTATAGTAGTTAAACTTAAAAAACACCAATTAACAATTCACTTAAGAAAACATTGCATTACACTGAAAACAACACCACTGCACCTCTGTAGCTATAGGTACGTATATTATTCTTTGCAACAAATAAAAATAAAAACACCTGTGGATGCTAGTCGGGTCGAGCGTCTACTTGTTTACATTTTAAATTGAAAAAATCACATCATATGAAATTTTGATTTATAAAAAAACATCTCTTAAAAACTATTTGTCCTATTTTAGTGACTTTTAACACATTAATACTGACTGTTATAAAGGACGCCCGCTTGCTTCAAACACAAATATGCAACTTAGTGCACGTTAACCGTTTGTAAAGCATACGCGCATGCGTTCAGGTAAGTTTAATGCCCAACAATAAATTCCATCTGTTCTGTGGATAAATTTCAATGACATCTAGTGGAGAGGTGAAAAAACAAGTACCTAAACATAAACGCTTTATATCAGTGTTGCGGCACTGTTGCCAATAGCAGTGTAATTACACCATTTGGGTGTAATTTACTAAAGGATTTTGTAAAATCCTTAATTTACTGAGGTGTAATTTTTTTCAGGCCCGTTCCTGGGGTGTTTGGCGACTACGTGCAGCATTCTTTGGTGCGCCCCTTATATATTTTAATATATTACATTAAATATTTTAATTTTTTAGCCCTAAAATTTAAAAAATATATATTTGAAAATGTGTAAAAACTGCTGAGTTTAAGTATAAAAAATATTTATTAAATTACCAAAGGGTGTTTCCGCGAAACCTTACCCCACCTTGACAAAAAGTCAGATGTTTTATTTAACAAAATAAAAACCATATCTGAAGTCAAATATATAGTTTCGACGTAATTTATAAGCTTAAAATATTCGTACATTGTAATGCTAAGAAGCTAGCATTAAGAATAAAAACGGAAGAGTTTCAATACCCGATAACAAGTTTAAATGTCGCACCCGTTACATTTTGACAAAATTTTAGAAAATAATATATACAATATTTGTGCATATTATAAAATACGTGCTTGTTTAAGGTTACTATTCAAGATTTACACAAAAAATTATTACTAGGTAGGTATATGCTTTCATACGAAATTTTACATTATCAACTTTAGAAGACAACTTGGTCGCATTTGCCGATTTTCTAAGGTCGCGCCCGTTACGCGATTTATGAGGCTATAAAAGGTTTTCTATACAAGTTTTTATTTACATTTTGTTTGAGTTAAATATCTAATTTTTTATACTATTTTTGTATATTAACATATCTTGATATGAACCAACACTTATGAAAAAACGCAGTGTCAGTGTCGCACCCGTTACAATTGAAATACCCCGAAATAAACAAAATCATAATCAATATTTAGTAATAAAAATACCCTAAATAAAACAAAAATAACCTATATAAACAATATAATACTTGGTTTTAGTGACGCAAGCTCGTTACAAAGTGTATACTGTGTACACTGTTAAACTCTACTACCGTCAACTGCAACTATCAAACAAATACTAAAAATATTATGAAAATTTCTGTCCTTTTATTTCGATACTCATATAAAAACGCGCTTTATAGCGGCCGAAAAAAGAGCGGCCGACGCAAATAAGTTACTATAGTCCATTCCATTTAAGAAAAAAGCGTTGAGTTAAATAGGATTTATTATAGACCAATCACGACGCTTAAAATTGTGGCTTTTTTACACAGGCGAAAATTTAAAACGCATCTCTTTTTAATACGTTGGATGTTGATATAACGTAGTTCTCATACACTGAATATTTTATTAATTTTGAAGCAAAATTAAAGTTTTCTCGACAAAATTGCTTTAATTTGAAAACCAAAATAATTTTTTTTAAAGAGTCAAAGAATTAACCTTTCCTGAAGACACTTTAAGCATTCTACATTAAATAAAGCCATTTTTTTAATAAAAAGACAATAACTTGCTATTAGACGCAATGATGTAAAGAACTAGCACGCTTAAATTGCCATCCAAAACAAAAACAAGGCAGAAATTGGTGAGCGCATGCTCTTGTCTGCTTAGTAAACACATATCACAATTGACCATATGCAAGGAATGCGGTCGATGTTGCCAATGGTAAAAAAATAAAATTCCCTATTGGGAACATTCAATTATATTACGTTGGCTACACTGAAATTTTGAATTTCCTGCAGAAACTGACATACATTCTAGTAGTTCCCAGAGATAAAGAAGGTAGTTCCAATGTTGTATAATAAATTAAGGTGCGAATTTCAAATGTGGGAATTATTATTATTTATTATTATTAAAAAAAACATGGAAATTAATTTAGTTTGTGCGGGAAATTCAAATTTTCAATGTAGCCAACGTAATATAATTGAATGTTCCCAATAGGGAATTTTATTTTTTTACCATTGGCAACATCGACCGCATTCCTTGCATATGTACGATTGAGGAGTGGGAGCTCCACTGTATCATTTTAACCCATAAAGTATATGTACATAAGGAAGTCACAATTGTAGCCACATGGAGCGTAAGGGGTATATTCTTTTTCTATGAACCCTAGTTCTTATACCTACCTTTTCTATACCTCTTTTATATATAAACAGTTCCTCCCTGTTGTTTACCATAACTAAAATCCAACAGTGTTTAACGTTTATACGAAAATTATTATTGTGAAACTCAAAATTTAGAATGGAACCCCAAAGAAAAAGACGAAGGTTGGCGGTATGTTTTGGAGAAGATATACAGGGTGTCCCGAAATTAGGGGTCCAAACTTAAACAGTGCATTCTTTATAGAAAAATAACACTTTTTTGTTTAATAAACATATATCAAAAAATGCCCCCTAACGGTGCTACGCCCCCCTAAATAGGAGCTTAAGAGCATCATTTTTTTTAAACTATACCTAGAGGGTTGAACATGAAGACCCTTTTGGGACTTTGGTAATTTTGACATTCTGAATCTGGATTTCAAATCAAAACTGTTAAAATTTAATCATAGGCGTAACATTTGAGGGGTCAAATTTACAAAAACAGCCCCAACTTTTTGCAGAGTGAGTTTTTTAATGTTTTTTAATGTTTTGTCATTTACTCAATGGTTTTGTTATAAAATTATGAAAATGTATAGTTTTTCACGAAAAATAGGTACTCTTGCTTTGAATCGCTCAGATGCACCATTTTCGAGAAAGTTGCAATTTAAATTACTATGATTAGCATAATTTCTAATATTTTCATTAAAAAGCTTTGGGACAAAAGTGACGTTTGGGTTATTTGCTGACTTTACATTTATTTTTATAGTTTAGTTAATATATTTTGGCTCGATTTTTGTTATTTTTTATTATGGAGCGATTTTCCAAATTTTAACACAAAATTTTAACGAAAATATGAGATGTGTATGCTATGCAGAGTAATTTATAAATGCATTTTTCTCAAAAATGGTGCATCTGAGCGATTCCAATCAAGACTACCTATTTTTCGTAAAAAACTATAAGTTTTCATAATTTCATAAAAAAAATTAAAATATTATCTCGGAAAAAAGTTGGGGCTATTTTTATAACTTTTCCCCCCCAAATGTTACGCCTATGATTAAATTTTAACAGTTTTGATCTTAGATCTTGATTCAGCATCTAAAAATTACCAAAGTGCCAAAATTTCATTTCTTCATGTTTAACGCTCTAGAAATAGTTTAAAAAAACTATTCTCTTAGGCTCCTATTCAGGGGGCCGTAGCTCCGTTAGGGGGCATTTTTTGATACATGTTTATTTAACAAAAAAGTGTTACTTTTCTATGAAGAATGTACTGTTTAAGTTTGGCCCCCTAATTTCGGGACACCCTGTATATATTTAATATGTTTAGCACACAATATTATTCCTACATAAACATATTAAATATATATATTAAAAAGAGAAAGACTATTAACCACGTTGAATAACTAGCTCAGCGATATAGTTTTATGGTCTGGTATTTGTGACGTCATAGTTAGGATTTTTGAACGCACTCTAAACGCAAAAATGCCTTAACTATTAACCAAGGTTAAGTTTAATTAAACATGAAATACTATGGTCATTAATGACCATAGTATTTCATGGTATTTACGCGAAAAAACGACTATAGAATTTTAAAAATACCCTTTTTCTAAAAATCCAAAAGGGGTACCAAAAATACCCCATTTTAAGACGGTTGTATTTTTACATAAAACTTAATTTTGAACGGGCACGGGTCATTCGGCATTCAGCACTTTATCTTATATTAAATTAATTAATGATAATTATTATTTCTACCATTTTCTAATTCAAATTTACCGCTTTTTACATCTCCTGTCTACCGCCTTTATTGCTACTGGGAGCGATGCGCATCATGACTGCGCATTACGTTTATACGAGATTACGTAGAGCACAGCAGTTCGACTATTTAATTTTAATTTCTTAATTTAGTTTGGTGTCTTTAATTTCTATTTTTACTTAATTACTTAAGTGTACAGTGTTAATGTGAAGGGTTTCCAGTGCAATTGCTCTCAAGTTTAGTTGAATTTGTTTTGTATTTATAAACAAAATCTCTTCGTTTTAATTACTATAGATTGCACAACTGCACAATATGTCATCATCAGAAACTTACTATAACACTGATGATGAAAAATCGCAAGAATTTCAACCAAAACGGAGCAAAAAAAGACGAAATCATTTTAATGACGATTGGTCCAAAACGTATAACTGGCTTGTAAAAGGCAAAGAAGCCGGATTCGCAAAATGTTGTATACCTATAGTAAATTTAAAAGTAAACTACGTACACGTCATCAATAAAACAAAAATTTTACGCATTGGTACCAACACTAAATGACTAAATCGAAGTCTGTTATTGAATATTTGAATGCATTTTAAACATCTTCAGTTGGCAACAATTGCGATTTTGTCATATTTACATTCAAATTTTTTCATATCAGTTTTGTGTTATCTGCTGAAGTAGATGGATCGGCTATCCTTGAGTGGATAATATGAAACTCATCGCATAAAATTTATTAATGCCATAAATAAGTTGATAATTGTTGAAACCACAAAATCTACAATAGATTGGTAAAGATGCAAGGGATTTCCACAAAGGATGATCGTTATATTGAAGGACTGAATATATTTCTGCAAACAGCCATGTGGTGCTTAGTCGGTTTTTTTTTAATTTTTTTTGCCTCGTAACTTCCGCTGCTAATATCGTGATTTTGTATGTGTAAAAGTGTAATAAAAGTGACTTCCGCTGCTGATATAAGCTTTATTGAATAAACTCTAAAAAAGACAAAAATGATAGTGATGGACATAAGTGAATAAAAAGACTATAAGTGAAAAAAGAAT